CTGATTGGCTGGGCGGATTGCAAACCACGCCCCGTAAAACTCCCAAAAAGTTTTGTGAAGCCGCCATTTTATTATCCTCGCATTAACATTAGCATTAGCATTAGCCCAGCGCACAAACGCAGAGAGACTAACTTATGGCAACACAAAAGAAAAAATGGGAGCGGTGGAGATGAGGAGGTGTCTGCGTTCTGGCGATTTACTCGGAAGGCTTCAGTAGAAGCTGCTGGGAGTCCCAGCAGCTTAAAGTTTTAACAAATAGCTTCATCCACACCAGAAAAGCAAAGCCATCTGTACTCTGACTACACATTGTGATTGTATGCCACATGAGCAAATGTAATGTACTGAATTATGCATGTTGATTGATGTAAAATACGGAAAATGCACATTTAAAAGTATGCACGTCACTTGTTTATTCATACAAATGATCTAACTACATGAAACAAGGACGGACACATAAAGTAGTCAATGTCAGTCTGACAGCATTGGATAATGACAAACAGTCTGACAGCTCACAACAGGGGGGTGGCTAAAGATAACACCAGAAATACAACTAATCTCTGACCTCTTTGTTTAGCTGCTGAATTTCAAACAACAATTGACCCTTATCTTGCTGGGTTTCATTATTGATGTCTTTCAGCAAAATGTCAGCTTTGACATTTATATAGTTATAATGCACTCACAAAGTTGGAGCTTTGATATTGCAGAAAACGCTTTCTGATACACACGACTGCTGCAGACCCAGCTGGGCTCTATAAGTAAAATATTATCAGTGTCGCTAAGCTGGCACGGAAAGATGAAAAGGAAATAACTTTTGTTTTGAGTTTTTGTTTTAGTTGAATTAGCCGGGAGTTGCTGCCGGCTACTCTTATCATGGAAAACAGAACCCAGATGTATAAACAGGTGAACAACTATATGTATAGCCCAGGGATCCCAAATGTATACCGAAAGATATCAATATGGCATTATCCAAACAAATGCTGAGATGGGTAAATGTGTTTAACACCATCATGTTTGCTGGCATTGCATTATTCAACGCATCTGTTGTTTGGTTTTGACTTTGACAAAAAGTAAGGTTTTATTTTATGGATGCTAGAGTTGGTTTTTATTTTGAAAGGTAGATATCCCTCAGTGCACATGGGGATTACACCATAGCCATAATCGAATATATAGATTCAACATGAATGAGGGTCTATAGGAATGGTATTTGCTATGCGAGGCTGTACTGACAACCCAGTCTCACGGCATTTTGTGTTATAGTCACGACATTTAATCTATTGATTCATGTTCACCAACACGATTTCCCCCTTTTTTTCGTGTCACACAGAACGATTTTAAAAGCAATGTATTTCTATTGGTAGTATGTTTCGTGCCTGCAGCACGTCTTTTTGTCCGTTCGGGTCTTGGAAGACCGGAAGCTGTGGGGTTCATAAAAACATGTTCTTACTCAATATCAAGCCACGNTACAATGACTCATACAGTGATCCATTAAAAATAAATAATGTACTGAATAGGCGCGTTCACACCGCAGTACTTTTCCCACTTTAGTTCCGATATAGTTCCCGGAACTATATCGGAACTAAAGTGGGAAAAGTACTGCGGTGTGAACGCGCCTATTCAGTACATTATTTATTTTTAATGGATCACTGTATGAGTCATTGTAAGCTCAATTGATTCCACATGTATGTGTTTTTAGAAAAATAAGAAAAATACATCTTACCTGAAAACCTTAATGTACACAACTTGGAAGATTTATTTAAATAGTTAACAAGTGCATGTATTCTCTCGTTCACCTTCTTTGTCGCACAAAGAAACACACAAATCTGCGCGCCATGTTGCTTCCTGTCAAGATGTCTGCTCTGACTCAATTTCGTGTCTTTGAAGTGTCACAGTGCAGTTGATGATCATCAGGGAACTGTCCTCATATCTCATTACTGACATTGTGAAGCGAGTGTGTTTGTGCGTGTGCATTTCTTCACATTCAGATATACCTTTGAGAATTAAGGTTGACAGTCTTGTCATCTAATGTCACCCTGATTGTGTTTGAGTGGCCTGTCATAGTAGAAGTATACTTAGTAGTGCTGGGGGGAAACGATTATTTTGAAAACGATTAATCGGGCGATTATTTCATCGATTAGTCGACTAATCTAACGATTATTTTTCTGTTGTTCGATTTATAAAAACATAATGTATCTCAAATAAATACCAAAAAACATTACTTCATTCATGACAACTGCGCACCAGCTTACGTGCAGCCCTGGCCTGGACATTGCTTGGCTCCGTTAGTTGACATACATTGATAATATGCTGACTAACGTTAGTCTAATGTTATGTTTGACTCGTAAACGTCCACAACATGAGTTAGCTCTCTGTGCAGTTTGTTCGTTCCGGGTTAGTAGCGGCTAGATAGCGGTGTTCTGCAGACGTAAACTAGCTACCATTCCATCCAACATTAAATGCTGACAAACGTTAACTAACACACAGCTGGCGCCGCTAGCTAGGTAGCTAACATTAACTACTAACCAACCAAGCACGAACAAACCGCACGGAGAGCTATAAGATAGTTAGCACTACCGAAGTGCACAGAACTCAAGCTGCACAACACACTAGGGCTGTTCCTATTTATGAATATGCTTTTATTTTGAAGGAGAGGTAGCGCTGTTGACAGGAAGTTGTTGTTGCTATGGAAACAACGTGACGGAGATTAACGGAGAAAAGTAATATCTACATATAAAGACGGAGAAAGTAAACGATAAAGTTTATGGTTAAGTGTTAGCACAACCCCGAACAAGCTCTTACGTTGATATTGGAGATTTCAATAAATTCAATTTGAAAGACCTAGGGCGAGATGTTTTTGTTTGGGGGCTTTTTGCAGGGCTTCGTGCGCAATCCTGTGAGGAGGAGGTGGTAGCCGTTTCAGTCTCCATAGTGTTTAAAGTGCGATTGCGAACTGCTTGTTGTTGTTTTGGGTGACCCACGTGTGTGTGGCGATGCGTCGACGAGGAAATATGTCGTCGACGCATCGCTACAGCACTAATACTTAGTCTTGAGTGATGCATTAGGTTGTGCTCTGGTAAAATGTTGTCAATGTTCTTTTAACATTTTGATGGCGTTATTTGATCGACAGTAGAATAAACCGCATTGTGAATTTTTTTTTTTGTCAAGATGAAAAGCAATTCAACTTACTTCATTTGATATATATTTATGATATTTGATAAGATAATAAGATCAGAGGTACTTTATTGATTGTTAGATTTAGACAAGTTAAAATCAGACTTCTTAAGATAATATAAGCACAAAAGTTGCAAAAGTCAGAAATTAGCAATAACTTTTGAATTTGAACTTTGAATACAGAGTAGAGACAAACAGTTTTTTTAATCTTCTCTGTTTTATGTATTTATTTTGGATTTTTTTTATTATATATTTATCCTTGTTGGGTTTTGCCATATGAAAGGTAGCCACATAATAGTGCATCTCAAGTTTTTTGTATTATTCTTTTTTAGATGTTATGTCTTGTTATTTCTCAAGTCACAATAGATACAAAAGGCAAGAAGTCCATATTTAGTTAGTCACTTCTCTCCATCAACAGTGTTGTTGTCAAAGTGCTGTTGGTCATTGCTACAGTATCAGCTTGAGAGGATATGATTAAGGTCTTACTCATTGATTAGTGGGGAAAGAACCATGTGCACAGCACTGTCTGCAATAGGATACAGTCTACAATATATATTGGCAATAACTAAATAAACACATTTTTGTCACAAAACAAAATCACTTTAAACATGTTTTTACAATTTCAAATTGTTCCCCTATTAGTTTTATTAAAACGTTTAAAATGAATTCCTTAAAACAAAAAGCAGTACGAGTGTCCTCAGATTTAACTCCAGTTGCAAAACAACCCACATCAGATGAGATGTCATCATATTGTCACTGAAATGGTGCTAAGAACTGATGGTTTAATGTAACACCTCCTTCACGAAACTGAGCCCCACCCACTTCAAACCAGAAGCAACAAAATGAATGACAGAAGTCACTCATTTGATATACCCAAAACGATTTTTTCAGAAATAGTGTGTTTTTAGGATCTCCTTACATATTGAATATATTAAAATGATGAGTTCTTGTTGCCTCTGTACCCATGTCTCATTGAGCTTTGGCCCAAACAGGACACCTGTGTAGCTGCTCTTAATGTGCCTCTCCCACACTGTGTCTATCTATCTGGTATCTAGAATAGTGTATCCAGGGTTAAACATAAGGTTAATGTGTAGTTTGAGCTGCCAGGGTAATTAGAGCAGTTGGAATCGTATTGATCGACCTCTACTCTCAACCTTCTATTGAGCGCATAAAAAGGGAAGTAGAAGGGAGGGGGGGAAATAAAGGGAGGCCGTGTGGGGTAATAAAGTGTACAAGGTCGCATGTGATTCTAGGCAGTGTTTTACCCAGAAAGGTGTTGCGTGTCAAAGCAATTGACCATTTAGTGCAGAACAATCCCCATCCACCGTTTAAGCTGCACTAGTCTTTTGTTAAATGTTAGCTGATGCAACCTTTTACGATTGGCATCAAGGCCTCAAGTCTCTTAGGGTTTTCTTCCAAGAGTTGGAATAGAGAAAAGACAAGAACAAAGATGAGAAAGAAAGTGTTTAGGGTGCCAAACACGGACTTAAGAACAAGTGAGGTGACATTAGCTTCTAATGCCAGCGGAGTAAAAGAGCCTGTCAGTGAGTTGGCGTGCGTGTGGCCATGACTGCATATTAAACCTACAGAGTGGATGGGTGAACTCGGTAACCTTGATGCTCCACCCTCTGAAACTTTCTGTCCCTCTTTCACCCCTTCTTTGTATTGGAATTTCCTATGGACGTGTTTTGGTCATTTGACAGCTTGTTTTGTGTGTATTTGTCTCACAGTCGCTGTTTATGTCCCCTGTGCCCCCCCCCCCCCC